CAAAACACGAGAGAGATTCGGCCCAATAACTCTCTGGAAGATTGGCATCATGCAGCAAGGTTTTTAAACCTTGAAGCAAAGTCTGATTTGCCCGTTCCGCAAGTCCATTCTGCCATGGCGAGCGAGGACTAGACAAATCGTGTTGAATTCCTTTCTCAGTCAGAAAAGCTTCAAACTGCTGAGAAGTGAATTCCCCCCCGCGATCACTGAAAAGAGTCTTTATCTTCTTACCATGCACATTTTCCAACCAAGCACAGAATTCCTTGAACCTAGGAAAAGCCTCCGATTTCTGCTTGAGATTGTACACAAAAATATATCTAGAAAATGCATCAATGAGAACCATGAAGTATCTATTTCCACCCAAAGAGGGCGCTAATGGTCCAACCAAATCAGCATGAACAACCTGGTATGGTTCTGTAGCTTTCCTACTAGACACCTTACCTTTCGCAGCCATTTTCACCTTGTTTGCTGCGCATGCTTTGCACTTCATGTGGTACCTGCAGGGTTTAATAGTCATACCTTCAACCAAGGCAGGCATTTTAGATACTGCCTCAAAATGCAAATGACCAAATTTGCGATGAAAATCGTGAATACATTCTGCATGCAAACTTTTGTTAGAACCTGCAATGCAACAAGTGTCATCCTGCACCACATCATCATAATACAAAACAAACAAATGATCAACATATTCTGCATGCAATACATAATCATTTTTCTTTGTGATGATGCACTTCTTGTTCTTGAAGGAAACGTCAATGTTCCGCTCATTCAGCTGTCCAACGCTGAGCAGATTATGTTTGGCGTCTGGCACGTAAAGCACATTCTGTATCGATAAGTCCAAACTGTGAAGAACAACAGTTCCGTAGCCTTTACTGGGAATAGTGTGGTCATCCGCCTGGTGAATCGCACCTTCCTGCGGTGTAAAAGACACAAACAGTTTCTTATCGTTGCACATGTGGTGGGTGGCCGCTGAATCAATAACGAAGAAAGATCTAGACGTCTTCTGGACCTCTGCAACCTTTGGAGTGAAGCGTGAAACCATAGCCTTGTGCTGCGTTGTCCTAGACACCGGACCTTTGCCTTTGCCTCGGCCTTTCCGCGCGATGAGCTTTCGCTGCGCTGCTCTGTCTTGGCCCTGGGATGTCTGCATTCCCTCTTCATATGGCCTAGACGTCCACACGAGTAGCATTTCACTGCCTGCAAAGCTTTGGCGCCATCTGGTGGTTCCACTGCACTATGGGATGACGTCTGTGAAGACTCCCCCTTGCCCATGCAGCCAGCACCCCGGCGATCTGCTTCATTTAAAATCACGGCAGTAACAAAGTCCACTGTCAGCTGAGCAGTTGGTTGCACAGCAATCTGGGTTGCAACAGACTCCCAACCTGAACCCAAAGATTGTAGTATCATGAAAGAATACACAGCCTCTGGAAAGTTGAGTCCTCTCTGTTGCAGCTCATGTCTCAGATTTTGCATCTGCATCAGATGTAAACGCACATCTCCACCTTCAGCAAGAGCCATATCGTGCAGCTTGTTAAAGTAATACATAGTGGATCCAGCTTCTGTCCTTAAGTGAGCCTCTCTCAGAGCGTCCCAAATTTCTCTGGCTGAGGTCTTATCACGCAATAGACAGAGCTCTTCTGGGGATACTATCAATGTAAGAGTTCCCCTTGCTTTGGAATCCTTAGCTTCCCATGCATCTGTAACTGGAACTGGGGGGGTTCCTGTAATCACCTCAAACAAACCCTCTTTCCGCAGAATTGCCTCTGCATACTGAACCCAGTCGCTGTAATTTTTCTTGTTGAGCTTAGGAATCCCACAAGCATCCTGAAGGGCCATCATGACTCTGGCATTAGCCTTCAGTGTCATATGCTGCTTTAAATCTTGCTGCGTCACTGCTGCAGCTGCCTCATTACAAAGGCACACTTAAAAGTTACTTTCGATTTCCCCAGCATAGTGACTTGTGCCTGGGAGCCTTTTCCTATTCCCGGCAAAACCGGCTTTAAAAGTTCAAAGTCCAGCCATAAAGCCATTAACTTGAAGCTGGCAGGCTGCCCGGAGCAGTAGCACATACCTCATCAATCACTTCTACGCGCAGAGCAGATTCCTTTCCGATCCGTCCCTCTGCATTCCGATCCTTTGCCGGCACTCCGATTCGACCTCTGGAGTCCATAACCACGTGTTGATTTAAAGCAGAGTCTGTCGTGCCCAGCGGAAGGATGAGTAATACGTGTTACATACTCTATATTGCTTTATTTACAGTTCAAAGCTGGTATATTACAGAAAGACATCTTGCCTCTGCAGGAGCAGAAAATGCATCCTCTCTCCTCTCTCAGCTCGGAGAGAAACACACTGAAAAAACAGGAAACCAGTGTACGTCACATCCAGTCTCCCTTTCCCGTGAGAAACTCCAACAGTACAGACTGTGGAATGTAAAACAATGTCTTGTGACTGCAGTTGCTGCTCAGTGAGGGAAATAGAAACCAACACATCCACTGTCAGACGATTTTAGCACCCATTGCTGCCCCAGCTCTGGTCTCTAGGTAGAACAGTTCTCATTGGCACTGGGGTTGCATTTAATAAGGATTCTGAATTTTCTTTATGGTGTATGGACTTCAAAATGCCATGTGGATATTGCCAAAGGAAGAGTGAATCACAGTGAACTGAGATAATTGTGTGTTTCACAGTCCCTGGAGCATTGCACTCTTCGTGGCACCATCTGCAGTGAACAAAACATGTTTTCTCCCTCTTGACAAGAACCTTCTCTGTTCCATTGTGGATCAGGCAAAACTTTTGGGCTCAGGAAGGTCTGGATGGGTGTAGAAATAGCAATGGGTTAACTGGCCCATAGAGTGGAAGCACTGACGTTCAACGATGTTCCAGAAGAAGAAGTGATCCACTGTACAGAAAAATGTTTTCAATGTGCAAGGGAATGTCATGGAATTCTACTCAACATTGATCCAGAGTAGAACTCCAATGTATAGTTAGCAGAGTAAAAACTTAAACACATTGCAGGATTCCCCAAAAGTAGACCAGAGGCAATTAATATTCCATCCAGCAGAGCTTTACTGCTACTGAAGGCAAATGAGCATAATGGTCACAAATCCAATACATTCAGGATTGGGGCAGTCCATAAGAATTCCAGTTGCAGCAGACTTAATTTAAATTTACAATGAATTATAATAAGACTAAACCTCAACCCTATATACAGAACACTGCACCTGAAGAGATAGAAAGAGGAAGTTGAAACCCAGGTTCCTTCTGGTCTCTTATTATAGTCAGCATTACGTTGACAGAAGAGATTACAGAACCAGTATCTGAAGAAGTGTGCATGCACACGAAAGCTTATACCTAGAGCAAACGTAGTTGGTCTCTAAGGTGCTACTAGAATATATATGGCTGTATATTTCGACTGCATCAGACCAACACGGCTGCCTACCTGAATCTAGAACCAGTCTAAGCCAGCTGTGCTCAGCTTCTCTGAAGGAATAACCCAAACATCAGGAACCTTCTGCTTGTTTCTTTCACACTGAGAAGCTCCCAGAAACCTCTTGAATTAATTAGAATAGGAAAGATCTCTACACATCAGATCAATACTTTCTGTACCGAGAAATGCAAACTGACAGTCAGGTCCAGATAAAGTAGTGTCTTGAATAGCAAGGGAGTAAGAGCTCTCTCCCAAATACCTAGGACAGCCAGCCCTAGCACACTACTATCTTAGGGCACAATGCTGAGCATTCTCTTTCCTGCTCCCAAATTCAACTTTGTACACACACAGCCCTCCACCAATTCATAATTAGAAGCAGGTAGGCTACAACAAAGGTCCGTATAGTAAAAGCTATGGTTTTCCCAGTAGTGATGTATGGAAGTGAAAGCTGGACCATAAAGAAGGCTGATTGCTGAAGAATTGATGCTTTTGAATTATGGTGCTGGAGGAGATTCTCCATTCTGAAGGAAATCAGCGCTGAGTGCTCACTGGAAGGACAGATCCTGAAGCTGAGGCTGCAATACTGTGGCCAACTCATGAGAAGAGAAAACTCCCTGGAAAAGACCCTGATGTTGGGAAGATGGAGGGCGCAAGGAGAAGGGGAGGACAGAGGACGAGATGGTTGGATAGTGTTCTTGATGCTACCAGCATGAGTTTGACCAAACTGTGTGAGGCAGTGGAAGACAGGAGTGCCTGGTGTGCTCTGGTCCAGGGGGTCACGAAGAATCGGACACGACTAAATGACTAAACAACAACAACAACAGGCTACCTGGAGATAGACAGAAGATGAAAAAAATGAAGTTTTCTTTTTGTATCTTTCTCTAATATTTCTTTTGGTCTTCTCTCTCTCTTTATTTATTTATTTATTTATTTATTTATTTACGGCTATTAGCCCATAAAGTATGTACAAACATAAAAGCACAGAGGCATAAAGACTAATATATTCGGCACCAGAAGGTGAACACCATGATGCAGGGGTGGGTCATTGAGCAGAGCCAGATAACAGCTTGGGGCCCGGAGAGCTCCAAGGGACGGATCCCAGAAAAGGAGAACTGAAGACGAGATCCGACATGCACTCTCTTCAAAACTGTCCGATTAGTTTTTGATGTTGTTGTTTTTGGTGGTTTTTGTGTGTGAGATAACTGCATTCAGGAATCTCGCCACCTGCAGAGTTACAGAAGGATCTGTATCCTGCAAAAGTAGTGCGGCATGTGACTCAGCAGGCCTGCCAACCAAGCGCAGTAAAGCAGGGCCCAGGAATTTAGTCCTGGCTATGCTATGTAGGGGACAGTTGAACATTATATGTGAGAGAGAATCAACAGTTTTCCCGTCACACACGCATAGCGGAGACACCAAACCCTTGGAAAATCTGTGGCTCAGCAGGTTCGATGGAAAGACATTGAACCTTGCACGAATAAATGCATGTCGGTGTGGTACAGATGAAAGAGATGACATGTATGATGGAAGGCCAAGTGGTGAGGTTATTCCGTGATACCTGGGGTGCAGACACCCTCACCCCGGCGAGGTTGTGTTGATTTTCAATGTCTGCTAATCTCTGCTCAATAAGTCTTTTGGCTGAGCGTAAGTTCATCTTTAAGGAGTCCGCTGGGGAAATTCCGATGCTCAGAAGTTTGGCATGGATTTTTCCTACCCACGGATTGACAAAGTCGTCCCGCCAGAGGCACTGAAAAAGGTAATGGTTGGGAAGCCTGTGCCAGCTGGACAGCCAATAACCAAAGACTCGCTTCCAGATGACCGTCTCCAATGATGCAATCCTTAACTCCAGACGTATGGCTGCGTTGCTCACACACATGGGGAGTTTCAGGAGGCGACGGAGAAACTGATTCTGCAATGTCCCCAACGATGTTAAATTGGACCCTGGGGCCCAGAGCGGGGCAGCATAACAGAGGGTGGAAACCACTTTTGCATGGTACACCTTCAATGCAGAAGGGATGTGGGAGGCTCCGTCGGCCGCAAAAAATTGGAGTAGAGTATAAAGTATTGTTTTCCCTTTGTTTAGTAAATACTGTATCTGTGGCTTCCAGCTTAGGTTGTAGTGAAAAAGACTCCCAGGTATTTAAATTTGAAAACTTGTTCTAATTGGACTCCATCTAACTTCCAGCTGTAAGTTTTCCGAGACCTGGTAAAGACCAGGACTTTAGATTTCCCATGATTAATTGTCAGATGGTTGAGTTTGCAATAAGCCGCAAAAATCTTTAGAGCTCTGCATAAACCGACTCTAGAGTAGGAAAGGATCGCTGCATCGTCGGCATATAAGAGCAGAGGGCAGCGAAAATCAGCTAGGCGGGGGCATGAATGTTGGCTTGAGACTCATTCAGAAAGAGCTTCATATCGCTAATAAACAAGTTGAAGAGGAGTGGGGCCAAAATGCAACCTTGGCGCACACCTCTATTTATTGGGACCTCGTTGGATAGGTTTCCCGCCGGTGTGAGTCTCACTCTAGCCGACGACCCATGGTGTAATTGGGTTATAAGCCATAACAGCCTTCTATCTATGCCCCATCTCTCTAATTTCTTCCATAGACAGTTTCTTGGGATACTGTCGAAGGCGGCCTTTAGGTCTATGAAAGCGACACATAGGCGCCCCCGACTCGGGGCAGAATATTTTCTGGCAAGATGATACATGATTACCATATGGTCAGTGGTCGAATAATTGTTCCTAAAGCCCGCTTGCTCGTGGCCAATCAAATTTGAGTCGTTTGCCCAATTGGACAGCTTGGACAGCAAAAATTTTGCATAGATTTTCCCGATGATAGACAAAAGGCTGATGTTCCGATAGTTCTCCGGGTCAGCAGGGGGACCCTTTTTATGGACTGGCACGATCACGGCCTCCTTCCATGACCTAGGGATAAGCCCCGTAGAATTAATTGCATCAAAGACTTTGGCCAGGATTTCAGCCCACCACCTCGGTTGCGCAACAATAGCCTCAGCAGGGACTAGATCCAGCCCGGGGGCTTTGCCCGTTTTCAGATCTAATATCAAGTCCATTATCAGGTCTGGGTCGGTAGAGGGCCACAAAGGTAGATGGTCGGCTCGGAATTCAGTGGATGAGTTGGATTCCTCTGCCAAGGAGAAATATTTGCTCAAGAATTGTTCCCATGTGGGCGCAGGGATAATCGTCAGTGGGTACTTCCTTCCTCTTTTGTTTATCAAAGCCCAAAATTCCTGTGGTCTGCGGGATCTAGAGGCCGCAATCAAGGCTCGCCAACGCTTTAGATACCACTCACGTTTGGCCAGCTTTAAAGTCTGTTTGTATGCTCTTTTGGCTTGTAAATAGGAGGATGGTAGAGCCTGGGCATTAGAGTTTTTGTATTCATTATAGATGGAACGAAGAAGGGATCTTGCTTGTTTGCAAGAGGTATTAAACCAAGGGGCCCCAGCACTGCAATGCGCTACTTTCGCCTTTTGAGGAGGTAATGTAAAAAAAAGTGGTAAGGTTTGTTGTAAGAAGGTTAAAAAATTTCAAAACCGAATTGGAATCTTGTAAATCAGTAGCTATTTGAGGTAGATAGGCAGTGATTTCCCTATGGAAAAAATCCTGGTATTTTTGGGCCACAGCTTCCGACCATTTGATCCCACTTATTTTGGTCGCTGATGAGGTTTCCAGAGGGACTGAGTGTTTATAGTCCTTCTGGTACCGGAACAATGACAAAGTGGTCACTATTGGGAGGTGATCACTGAAATGTTGGTTTTCAACTTGGAAGGAAAGTACATTGACGGCCAAATTTGCGGAGATCAAGAGGTAATCGATAACACTGTTAGATGCTGGTCCCAGGTGAGTGAACTCCCCGGTATATCGGGGGGGAAGGTGCCGTTCAAGAATACTAGATTCAGGCGAATGGCCATTTGGTAAAGGGTCACTCCAGCTTTGTTTACTCTGTTGTCCTTTGAAGTTCTAATTCTAGCATGTTCCAAGTCAAAGTTGCCCAAACATGGGGGAGTCCACCATTTGGACTTGATTAGTAGGTCCCAAT